GGGTGGGGTGGGGTGGGGCAGGGGGAGCAAGCAGAAGGGGACTCCGGGCTCCTCCGAAGGGCTGGCTCTTTGATGGAGCACATGGGTTTCTTCGACCGGTGGGACTCGATCCTCGATCTCGGTAAGGGGTGGCCCTGGAAGACGAGGTTCGCCTGACAGCGTGTTCCAGAAGCACGTCCCCAAAGACCAGAACCGGCCTCCTACTTGGCTGAACCTGCCTTCCCACTAACCTGTGGGCTGCCTCGGAGCGTTTTATTCTTCCAGCCTTAGGTTCCGAGATGCGCTGGGAGCCTCCACCCGCGGCCCCGGCCCGGGGGTGTGAGCTTGAACCTGACAGCGCGCGGCCCTCCCCGGCACAGCCTGGCTGCGAGCGAGGGTCTGGGGTTTAGCCGTTTTTGCCTAAAGCGCTACTGCTGAAATCCAACGCCCTGTCCCTGCCTCTCCTCCCCTGCCTGTGTCCCCGTCCCGGGAAAATAAAAATTGCAGAATCCCTGGATCCGATCGCACACAATGCGCGGCTACGAAGCGCATTCTTTTCATGAATATTCATCGAACGCTTGGCTGGGCTTATCTGCTTCCCCAGAGACATTTCCGCCTTGAAACGGACTCTCTGGATAGCCTTTGCCCGAGTAATTTCGACTGTGCTGAAATTAGCGCAGCGCACATGGGCGCATTTTTAGTCCCTTCGTCCGGGTTGACACACCTCTGTCTCCCCCGAGGCCACCAACATTGTGGACAGGTTCAAATCAAACAGTAGCACCGAGGTGATCTTTTGCTATAGGGGTGTGGATCAGCCCCCCAGGGATTAGAGCTCTGGCCGACAACCCTCAGTACTGCAGGCAAAATGAATGAATCGGGACTGTAATTACCTATTCCTTTGTCTTGGCTTCGCGCATGCGCCGCAGAGCAGGGTGTGGAGGGCCCGGCCGCCCCATCTGATCTCGCAGTCATCCGCCCACCCACTCCCCTCCGAAGCCGAGGAACAAAGGCGTTTGCCCTAAATGTTGTGTGATACCCTTGGGCACAAATGACAGATTCCCCTCGCCTGTGTGTGTGCTTCTTCTTTTCCAGGTTATCGCTCATCCTTTGCTTTCTTACTCATTTCTCTTGACCAAAAACAAGATTGGCCTTTATGACAAGGGCAAATGGTGGTTGAAGAATTTTTAAGGCGCACATTGCCGTTTTTCCTTTCTAGTATTGTCCATTGTTCTCTTTTCTGTAACATCGCACTGCAGTGATGGTGGCTTTCTTAATTTGCATCAGTTAACCGTTTGTCTGACAGCTCTTTGCGGACGCTCACTTGATGAAGGGACTTTGGTCTCAAAAGCTGACAGTGGGTGTTGCCCCCAGTGACACGACTTGGGAAAAATTGAGACATCTTGGCGTTTACGCAAGCAAGATGGCCTACCAAAGCCAGAGCGAGAAAATGGTTACCTTGTCAGGATCCTGGCCCTTTCGGTTTTCTCCCCATTCCTACCTCTTTGTTTCATTAAGAATTCCAAAAGGCAAGTCTTACGGAGATGGAAATCTACTGCTGGGGGAGGAAGAAGCAGCGGGCTACCGAGGTGTTCCTTGTCCAATCTTCCCCTATTATCTAGCAGAAGCCCATGTACCCTTGACTGCTGGTTTTCTTTCAAATGATGTATTGTCCATGGCCTTCGAGATTTCTTTAGGGGCTAGTTTGTTTTCACCACCCAAAAGGGGAGTTACTGTGTATTTCAAATAGGAGCTTAAGCATATATTTTTGCCATGACAGGTTATGTTTTAAGGATTTTATGCTCAAGTGTTCCTAGTGCATCCTGGTGGAATAGCACGTGGCAGCAAATGGAAATCTTCTATTGTCCCTTTTAATATGAGCTCGGTATGGCCTGCATTTACTGTATCAGGCCCTACCCTTGCTGGGGTGGCTGCCTGGCCTTCTTTAGGTGGGGTGGGTCACACTCTACCGTTTCCTAGTGAGTGATTTGTTAGGGCTTAGAGGGCTATGTTATAGATTTTCTTTTCTTTTCCTTTCTGTTCTTTTCTTCCCTCTTTTTCTTGAAGTTGTGTTTTGGGGAGAGCAATATATGGTAATATACACCAAATTCGATAGCAAATGTCTATTAGCATACTCCAAATCAAGTAGGCTTTGGGTGTTTGAGTGCAATCATCTAAAAATTGAATTTAAAATACTATCATCAGTTATCTTGTTCATTTATCACCTAGCTTTTCACCGGGCAGTAGCAGGTGGAGAGAGGGAGTAACTGAGCTTATGGAGAAAATGCACCCGTGAGGATTCCATGGACAGTGGCATTTCTGTTCTTTAACCTGGTGCGCAGGCTGTCATTGTGGTCTGTGGGAGGGGACCATATCCCTCCACATTACTCCGATTTAAATACCTGATGAAAGAGCCCTAAGTTCCTAGGCTGCCTATCCTTGGAGCCCTCTTCATAATCCTCATGGATTTACCAGACCAAACCACATGATGGTGTGAAATGTGATGATAATGTGTTCCTGTCTTTATTTATTTATTTATTTATTTTTAATTTTAAGAACAATTTTAAGCCATTTTTATTACATGATCAAGATAAAGGGAGTATGACACTAGAGAAAAGCTTCTGTTTGGGAGAGATTTAATCACTGTAAAATGAATGTGTGTGTGTGTGTGTGTGTTTCTGTTTCTGAATAAATTGCAAAACCCAGTACCATTTTTGGAATCAATTAGGGTGCAATGTTCACATAAATACATGTGTGTGTGCAGGTACACATAGTATAAAAATTTGTTAGTGACATAAAACTAAACTAATTGATATATGATATTTATAGTGCTCTCATATGTGTTTTTGGAAATATTTGATTTC